ACAACAAATTTTTTATTTGCTGCAGACAAGAGCGTTTGCACTCTGTGGGACACATTTTTGCTGTTTTCTTTTGCTCACACATTACGACTGGTTTGGGTTCTCCTTTCTTTTACCTTTAATTCCTCCTAATCCCATCCCTGCTGGAGTCATGAAACCATCTTTCCCCATACCCAGTGTACACAGCTGACAAAGACAGCAAACAAAAAAACAAATGGGAATGTATTATCCCCCAAAAGCAGCGAGTTTTGTTCTGTTCCTGTAACTGAGATACATATTTCAGTAGTGCTGTTAGTACCTAGTAACTTTTCCAGTGCCTTCTGCAGTTTGTTTGAAAAACTTACCAAAGAAGTGATTATTCTTTCATTGTATATTGCAAATCAAAATCAAAGAGAAAAGTACTCCAAATTCTACATTTTTGCTTACAGAAACTTTTTATCTCGGCCACGTTTTTCTTCAGTTACACTTAGTTGTTATGAATCCTGTAGGACTTGCTGCACGCTCATATTTCACCTTCCTGTAAAATGATTTTCTACTGGCCTGCCTGCTTGTCCCTTCTCACTAACCCAGCCTTCCACCTGGTTAGACTGCACCCATGGGCATTTTCTATTAGAGCATTGATGAACTGGATTTGCTTCTCAGTATGGCCAATCGCTCATGCAGGGTACAGCATTTTTTCAACAAGCAGTGTAAACAGATACCTTAATCTAACAAGGACAGACAAAACACCATATTCTTGTATTCTGAAATTCAAAACGTGATCCTGCCTACCTGAGGACAAATGAAGCCTGCTCCATACATGATGCTTCTTACAGAAGAAGAAAGGACATCCTGAGGAATGAGATTATCCGCAAAGATCATCATAAAATTGTTGCAGAAGGCCAAGTGGAAAACTTGGAAGAAGTTCATAGTAACGAAAAATAGAAAGTTTTTCTCTGTCATAATCTGTTTGGTCAGTGAGATCACTGAGGACCAGGAGAGAGCTCTGTCACCATTTCCTCGATCAGCATTCTCGGCAAGAACTCCTCTCTGCTCATACTGGCTGGTACTGTATTTGCCTGTGTAATACATACAAGCTGTTGCTAACACTGCAATCAAAACAGCGAAAGCCTGAAAATAAGCAAAATTTTCCATATTATCTGATATCAGGCCACAAAAGAGAACGCTTGTTGACCCGATCAGTGTTGTTACTTGGTTGTATTTTATAAGCTGAAGCCTGCTTTCATGTCTCGTTGAAATTTCTGCAAAGAGCGCGCACTGTGCGAGCAGCACAAAGGTGAGCAAACCATCAAAAGCACACAATGCGACAATGAGGTGGAGCCCACTCAGCCAGTCACCTTCTTCATAATGTCTCCAAGGAAACCAAGGAAGCAAAAAGGCTAAGGCGTATAACGGAGCTCCGTACAGAATTGAGAACCGGCGTCTGGAGCAGCATGGCGACTGGGAGTTGTCTTGAATATAGCCAAAGAGTGGATCATTAATGGCGTTCCATATCATAAATACAACCTGGGACAAACAGAACACAACTTAGCAGTGTGAGTTTTCTGCAGAGGTTATACAGGCAAGAAGTAATAAACACCGTATCTACTTAAAGAATCTCTACTTAAAGAATAAAAGAAAGAGCAAAAACAGACTTGGGAGCAAATTATCAAAAGTATTTAAAGGTTTACAGCGATTATGAAATAGAATAAAAAAAGAAAGCGTAAGTAGGCAGTGCCCAATGCCTGGTGAACCCCCATGGCTACAGCTCCCACATTGCACACTCATTGCAAGTGATGCAGAACATGAGCCAGCTCGTTGCCTGCTGGAATTTACAGCAGGAGCTGCACACCCAGCTCAGGACTTGCAGAACTGGGGCAGTATTTAAGTACTTGAACAATCCATAGGAAAGCACTAGTCAAAAATGTACCTCTGGAGCTGAGATGCAAGATTAGTTTAAAAGATTACTTCAAGTTATCTTCCCAGCAATCAAAGTTTGAGATTTTTGTCTGCAGATTGTAAACAGTGTTTCATTTGTACATATTCTTGCATATGCAATATCAAAACTTAAAAGAAAGCACTGCATAACCATTTGCTTTGCATTCAAAAGGCATTAGTAAGTAAAAAAATACCACCACAAAACAAACCAAAAAACTTCACCTTTGTTACAACATCACAGGTGCAGACACACCATGAAACCAACATATCCATCGTACAATACCTGTGCTTGATGAAATGCTACTTCTGAAATTCTGTATCGGTTTAGGAAAAGCTTGACGTAGTAGAAATTAAAGATACTGTTCATCATTCCGGCACCCAACGTGGTCATGGAGTACGCCAGAGCATTGGGGTGGATTTCCAAAGCCAACTTCATCTTCCCAACTGCGTGAGCCTCTTCTTCCTCAAGGTACAGGAAAGAATTACGATAGTTGGTTAAACAATTTTCCAAAGTCAAAGGATGTGGGAGATTCATATCAGAGGTGTGGAAATGGGTTCTAGCAGCAAGATCTCCACATCCTCACTTCCTCTGAGCACAAAACCACAGAATATCAATCCAGCGACATTTCTAAACCTCATCAGCTAAAAGTCAATAGAACAGGTAGACCAAATTTTAAGAAAAATTAGCGTTTGCAAAGACCAATTCTGGTGCAGGGGTCAAAGTAATTGCACACACTTTACATCTTGCCAGCTATGTAGTTTTAAAGCTACGAAGCTCTGTGCAGGAATGAAGTGAGTCAGCCCACGGCCCCACACGTTCCATTGCTGTGAATGTCCAAATGCAGCAAACACTAGGAAGCATTCCTTTCAAAACAAAGTTTTGGGTTTGTACTTTTAAATGCTAATACTTAACGAACATGGAAGCAATACTTACACCTAATAAACAAATCAGACATGAACAGAAACCACGGAACTATCCAAGCACTTTTTAACAGTCTAAACATTTTCATACTAGAGAAGACAGCATGTAAACAAAATCCAGAAAGTGACTCATGCAGAGCAGTACAGCATTAAAGTATGTCCAAATAACAGAGATTCTTTAATGCAGAGCTCTCTGATAAATCAAACAGAGCTTCAGTCAACAGCTCTCTAAATTGCTGACTTCTTCCACGTGTCTCCAGCAAGTAACTGAAGTATGAGTGCTGCGAAGCACCCTGTGGAGACAGCCAGCTCCAGGGAACCCCCACCTTCTAAAACAAATATTCCCTTTATATTCTTGACCAGATTTGATTCCAGAATCCCAATACAGAAATATTTCTCTCGAGTTGCTCTTTCTAACCGAGGCTTTATCCATCTGGACATCTCTTTGAGAGGAGTAATTTGCCGTTCCTTTGGAGGCACTCATTTCAGCCTTAATACCTGTTAACTGCAGAGCTGCACAACCTGCTGCCAGCTGTGCACCCCTTCCTCCTCCGCACCATGTTAACAATTTTATCCAACATGCAATTTTCAAACAGCCATCCAAAGGTCATTTATTTGTAAAAACGTGACTCAATTTTCAGATAATTGAGTGTGACTGTCATGCTTGTCATCATATTCATTTTTCACAGAATTTTCCATTTCCAGGTGATTGATTCCAGGCTTTGCACCTCTGTAGCAAGTTTGGTTTCATAAACCGAACTGAGAAACCTACGTTATTGAAAAGATGCCCATGTGAAATGTTTATGCTTAAAAAGAGGGATATCAAAAACTGTGAAAGGTGATTATCGATAAGAATAGTGTGCTTTTTAAAACTGTGTATCCACATCTTCCCAAATACACTTAATGATGTCGGTGTGAGACCTCGGGGCTTTTGGAAAACCACAGTCCAGCTGTAACCCTGTAGGTTTTCAGTGGAGAACTGCGGGCCCCGACCTCAGATTCCAAGAGCACTGAGATAAACGCTCAGCATTAACATTCTCAAGTCGTATTTGACTCAGTTCCTTCCTACGCACAAATAAGAAACTGCTTCCGTCGCTCCAAAAAACTTACAAGTATCATTTCTTCTACAACAGCCTCCTAACAATGCGCCGACCCGCCTCCAGCGCCATGACTCAGTGCAGCACAGGATCTGACTCGGCTCCTGCGCTAACGCTACCTCTGCTCCCGCGCCTCGCGTGTGAATCGCCTCGGTGAGAAGCCGAGGTTCCACGCTTCCCTTCCCCAGAGACGTGTTCTTTAATTGTACAACAATGAAACACGCGTGAGCCTCCCGCACAGCCGTGAGTCACACAGCGCACCGGCCGCACCGCCTCTCGTGGCAGCTCCTCACCGCAGCGCAGCGCTGAGGGCAGAGCAAAGAACCGGCGCTTCTCGAGTCCTCAGGGGGAGCCCTGAGGGGAAGCACCGCTGAAAGGAAACCCCGCGGAGGGCAGACGCACGCAGAGCTCCCATGGCTCCCGAACCTGCGGGCCTCCCAGCCCCGGGCACGCCGCGCTGCCGCCCGCTCAGAGCCGCCCGCCGCTGAGGGGCGCGGCTCTCCACCTTGCGGAGGCGCACAGCGAGCGGCAGACGGACCCGCGGGGACGGCGCCTCCGCTCAGCACCCCGGCACAGAACCTTCCCCGGGCGGGAAGGCGGGGAGGGGCTGAGCGCGTGGAGAGCGGGGCCCAGGCACCGCCTCACAGGTCACCGCGGGGACTCCCAGCACTCCCGGGCGCGCCGCCACCTCTGCCACACCGGGAACCCCCCCACGGCGGCCGCTCCCCGCCGCGAACACCTCAAGCCCCGCCACCACCGCCGCCCCTTCCGCGGGCACCGACCGACCTCCTCCGCCCGGAGGCTGCGCAGCGGGACGCTAGGGGAGGGCCGGCTGGTCAGGGCCAACCCCTCCTTCTCTTTCATTGGCCGCCTGCCGTGAGTCCGCTTCCTGGTTGGCCGGCGCTCCTTTCGATCTACCCGGCGGGCGGCTCCCCATTGGCTCTCGGCAGAGGAGGTGAGGGCGTAGTGTTTGAATCGCGGGCCGACGGTGGGCGGGCGGCTATAGCGTGCCACGTTGTCGCCGGCGGCTCCGCACAGCCCGACCAGAAGGGGGAGAGGTTCGGCAAAGTCCGGAAACGTTCGGCAATGGCCGGAGGCGGCTTTTAAGGCAAGGAGCGGCAGCCGGCTCGCCCTGCCCCGCCGCCGCCCGGCGCGAGGTGAGCGCTGCGCCCTGTCCGCTAGGGAAGGGCGCGATGCTGGCCGACAGCCTGGTGGAGGAGTTTGAGATCCGCGAGGATGAGCCGTGGTACGACCAGCAGGACCTGCAGCAAGGTGAGCGGCGGGGGGCGCGCGGGGAGGGTGGGCGAGGGAGTGCGGGGCGGCCGGAGCCGCGGCGGGGCGAACCCGGGGGTCGCGCGGGAGGGGCCGAGGCCGCCGGAGGGACACGGGGCGGCGGCGGCGCGCGGGGCGCACGAGGGTAGGAGGTGGGGACCGCCGGTACCGGCGCCGCGCGGCCGTCTTTGTCTGACGGAGCGGCGGCTGCAGCCGTGGCCGGGCCCCTGCCAGCAGCGGGGCGGCTCCAGGGTCTTCTCCCGGCGGGGCATGGCCGGGTAGGGACAGGGGGGCCCCGCGGGAGGGAGAAGCGTTACCGGTGGAGACGCGGACGTACAGCGATGTAACTGCGTTAAAAGTCATCTGCGGTGACGGAAAGAACGCGCCGTTTCCTTCGGAGCTCGCTGCCGTGCAGGACGGGCGTCCGCTTCGTTTGGACGCTAACTCGCTGTAAAAGGCAGCAGTGAGTCCCGAGCGGCGCTCCGGAGCGGCACGAACCGTCCGACGGCAGCGCTGGGCGGGCAGGAGCTGCTCCGTGTGTGTACGGTGTGTGTATGGGCGGTCCGCAGCGCGCAGGGATGCCGTCGCGGCCACAGGTTATAAAGAGAGCCACTTAAACGAGATCCTGGAGCCATTGTTTGCTGTTTGCGAAAGGATGAGTTGAAAATTTGAAGACAGGGTTTGGTATTTTTACCGCGTCGATATTGGTGGGGTGGAAGACCTGCAGAGCGGATCCATGCTGCGCGGTGCCGGACCTCCTGCCCTACTGCTTTAACTCCGCTTCTTTCTCCCGTGAGTGAATGCCCAGCCTCGGCTCCCTGCCGGAGCTGGCGGTGCTCCTTCCAGGGGCGGTGTGCTTAGAGCTCACTGACTGCGCTCCCAGCACCAGAAGCGTCTCTTCCTAAGGATGAGCTTCTCGCAAGCCCAAATAGAACAGCCTGCCAGAAGGGAAAGGAGGAAAATGAGCTGATGAGCGAGCTGAAATGCAGATAAGTTCCTTAAGGGAACGTTTGTAAAACGTTCTGTTGGGACTTTTACAATCTGGAACATACTCCTCGTTCTAAAACCAAGCAATATCAGTGCATGTCAGTGGAGCAGTGAGGTCGCTTACAGGGCACAAGTGAAACTTGTCAGAACCCAAAGAATCAGCACATTTGGAAATCAAGGAGTGTTTTTGTGAGAACGCATTACTGAACAACCAGGCAGTGCAGTACCACAAACCTGCAGCCCTTGCCAGCCTGCCCAGGAGCTCAGGGAGGGCAACAGCTGGCCAAGCTTCCATTGCCTCTGCGTGCAGCAGAAGGTTTTGCCTTGGCAAGAGGTGGACTTGTCTGGCACGTGTCATTGAAAACAGTGCTCATGGAATTCTTGTAAGGATGGGAGCAGCTTTCCCTCCTGCAAGGTCCAGCTTTTGCAGCTGCACGCTGACATGTGGAAAAGAGCTGTTCTACGTGATTGCTCTTCTGTGCATCTTGCTGCTACCTGCTTTAACAAAGCAGAGTAAGCTGAACATGGAGTACGAGATGCGTAGCTAAGTGAAAAACTAAGGGTTTAAGTTTACACTTAAACTTCAACTTAAACATCCTATATTACTAAGGCATTCTCCTATTGAAAATAGATTTATTTTTAGAATAAAAATCATCTGAATTGCTTTGCTAGGTGGGTTATGAAAGCATAAAGTAAGAGTTTTGTGCCATGTTCTGTCTTTTTCTCAACTACAAAAACACTGCTGAAAGGCTGCACAGAAGTGCTTGTAAGTGAGGGCTTAACACCGTGGAAGATCCATCACTAAAATCATACTTTGTTTTCTGATGGAGCTGTTAGAAGACACAAGTAAGACTGAACAGGTTTACTAATTTGACTTCTTGCATTATTAAAAAACTCTTTGCTTACATCTTCATGGAGCAAAATTGTTGCAGGACGTAGAGCTGTTGCTTTACATAAAAGTGCTGTGTGCTTCTAGTATCGTACAGTGATTCTTAGACCAATGAAGGTTCCCTGTGCACCCGTTTCTCTACGTTGTAAACTGTTAACTTCAGAACAGGTCAGATTGGTTCAGTTCTTACCTGTTCCAGGGGTAGCAGTTAGGGTTTCATTGCATGTTATTGAACTCTTGTCTTCTCCCCCTCAAAACCAAATTGCCATAATTAGCAAACAGTAGGCTTCTCCCATGGTAATCCATCCGTGCTTCAGTCATTCTAATGAACACAATGATTATTAAAGTACAGTAAAGTGAATTCTGTTATTTGCACTGTATTCAAAGCACCGTGTGGCTATGCCTCTTGATTTAGTAGGTGTGGGGGCATTTAAAAGTGGCACTACCTACTTCTGAATGTATTTAAACATAAAAATAAACTTTCTCTTTGGGAAGGGAAATGGCAGCAAGTAATACCATCACACATTATGTCTTGAGAAGGATTGAGGATTATGTTAAAGCTCTTTAGATTCTGCTCTGTTAAAATAAGAGTGGTCTTGAATGATTCCAGTATTGTTGATGGACTTTAAAGATTGTGGGTACTGGTGAAGATTTATGTAGCACGAGAACTTTGAGTCAGTCCAGGTTCACAGGAGGGCTGTGTTGGTTTGAAGACTCCAGTACTCCATAATGCAATAGAACAGCGTGGTGTTGGGCTGCTGAGGAGGTGAGCCATCCACGATAAGCAATGTATAAGGTCTGTTTTCAAATAGGAAGAACTTAAGGTTTCTTCATCCAAACCCTTTAAAACTTGGGAAAAAGCTGTGAAGTAGGCTGTGTTTCTCAACAAGGGGTGTTACAACAAAAAAGCTACTTGAGGATAAACTGCTAATTAAGTGTAAAACAGAGAGCCATGTGGCTCTCAGCTCTAGCAAGAACTTGTGTACAGGGTGACTTGTAAATAAATTCCACAAACATTATTCAAAGGGTCTGACAGCTACAGCCCGTTGTTTCCTACCTTAAAGAATGTGTAATGACTACCACAGCTGTTGTTTGTCCTGAACTGGACATCTACAGCTTACAGAGACAAGTGAACAGGAACATTTGTCTGTTTGGTCTGTACTCAGTCTTTGGTTTATGTATCTGGACCAAGTACTCATTTCAGACAGGCTGCCAAAGTGAAGGTTAGCACAAAGCAGCCTGGGAACAGCCTTCTGTCTGCTACAGAAACCAGCTGATAAGGGGCTGGAAAAGGGCAGGAAAGTGACAAGAAACACCTTAAAACAAGGGCATCTTAATCACTTGACAATTAAAAATGTTTTCTTGTCTAACTACAGCTGCAGGTGATGCAGTATGTCTTGTATTCATTTCAGGCTTCTTGAAGAGAATCTGAGTTTTTCTTGAACTTCCTTCTGCCTCTTTCCCATTAGTGATGCTATTCCTACCCATATGAGAACTAACAAGGCTGACCTGCATGCAGGAGAAACCTGGTCAGGCCCAGGTGATGGGAAGGAGGTGAAAAGTAAGATGTTAGAGATCATGTAATACCTACACAGATTAATTACTGTTTTAGCAATAATACTGTATTGATTTCATCACGTTATGTTAGATTTTAAATTGCATCTTTAAACATAATAATATGAAACATCTAGCAATACTCATATTGCTTCCTTTGAGAAAGAACCTGGGTCTTCAGATGACTTATTTCTTAATTTGAAACAATTACAGTCACTGTACCCTGGAGGTGATTAAGCGAAATAGAGATTAAGTGCCTCTGAACAAATTACACTTAAAATGGTGTTTTGGAGCACATAAAGCAATTGCTGTCTCCTACGTTTATGAGCTTGAAAGGCAGGATAGCTGCATTTCTTTAAGTTTTGTCTTTGATATTACCAGTTCACCATCAAATGCCTGGACCTTTCATTTTGCTCCCGATCCTGTGCAACCCAAGCTCCTTGGTGAAGGGGCAATAGGGAAGAACAGCACAGTATATGAGAGTGCAGTCAGCTTTGGCCTCAGTCTAACCTGATGAGCACTTAAAGAGTACTTTATGCTTATTCTTCTAAAACATGATTGTTGCAACCACAGTGAAATAGTTAACAGATGCTGCGATAAGAGGTGCATGCAGTACAGGGCAGGTGGAGGGGAGCAAAGGGAAGGTGGCTGCCTGCAGCTGCCCCGAGGCTGCAGCATCCAAGGAGGACCCCAGGAATGGCCATGAATTTGGAGTATCTTCTAGGTTTCAGGACTCACTTAAGTCTTTGTCTTACAGACAGTATTTGAATGGCCAATGCATCTGTAAGCTAACTTCATTTTTGGGTACCACAGTCATTTAAAAAAATAATAATTCCAGTCAGTATTTGGTTAAAATACTTGAAAAACAGGTCATGCTATCGGGTCTGTACCTTATGTGCAAATGGCTTCTTTGTTTAGATCTTCACCTTGCTGCTGAGCTTGGGAAGACGCTACTGGACCGCAACACTGAATTAGAAGAATCTTTACAGCAAATGTATGCAACAAATCAAGAGCAACTGCAAGAGATAGAGGTAAATACTATAGGAATCTAGGTGTAAGTCATGTAGATATGCAGCAGAATAGCACGTAAGTTGAGAGTTCTGATTTCTCAACATCTGATCAGTGTTTCCTTGAAAGTGTTGGCCTTTAACTGCCGGTGCTGCCTCAAAAACTTACCCAGGCTCTGATCATTGTTAGACCCATTTGTCTCATTAATGGAGTCTTTGTGCCACAAAATTCCTGTTGGATTCGGCCTGTATAATGACATGACTGATACTTTTTATACAGACAAGCTATTTCAGGATTGTTACAGCTAAATTTTGCTGGTCTTGTCGGGTAAAAATGATATGAAAATCATATGATGAATAAATGAACATCTTCATATTATTTTAACTATTAATGATTACTGCACTGAAATTTAAATGCTTGACAAAAAAGCACGATAAAGATTTAAGTAAAATGGGAGGATATGTATTTCTACTGGGGGTAAAGGGAAATACAGTTCAGTTAAAAAATGAAAAGCAACAAGAATAAAAACATGTAACTGCCTAAATACAGGCTGTAGCGGGTATGTTCTTATGTCTTTTTGGGGGAGAATCAGAGCTGCCCTTTTGGAAACACTCATCTTTGTTACTTCATGGAAAGCCCTGACCATTTGTGGCTGTTTCTTTAATGGTGCTTCTATTCTTGCAGACCTAACATTTGCCAATATAATGATTTTTTTTTTTTTTTTTTAGCTATTTGAGGGCAATGCACGGCCTCTAATAATTAAATTTATTAAATATTCAGTACTTCTCCATTACTCTGGCAGTGTAATGGAAATGTAATCCAGTGTTTCATTTTGGCTCTAGTATGAATCACAGGGAATAGGCTGTGACTGGCGTGTGCTAAATTCTTACAAAATCTGCATTCACTTGTGGAAGCATTACTTATGTGGTTACAGTCAGAGTGTTTTTGTACAGCTGCAGCTTAGGACTTAAACCTTTATCACTGTTGTAGCGATAGGCAACTTAAAGAACCTAAACTTGAGACTTAGAAGTATATAGGTGTTTTCTAAAATAGTCACATTGATGTAAATAAGCAGCTTTTTGTTTGTTTTATAAAACACTTCTGTTTTATACCTTGATGTTGTCACTTAATGGGGGAAGAATCAAACTGTTACCACATTCGTTTGATGACACAACGGCTGGAATGGCCTGTATTTATTGCCAATGCTATAGCTTTTTTTTTTTTTTTTTAGTATTCACTTATGCAGAGACTTGACTCACTGAGATGAGTGCTTTTACAGGAAAGATTGATTCTTTAGATCTGGAGAGTACTTCATGGTGTATCGTATAGCACACTTGAAGGTGTGCTGTACAAACACTGTTCTACTCCAGGTTCAACTCCTGTATGACAGCCTTGTTTAAGGAAGTGTTTAACACAGTTACGACATATTTTGAAGTAACACAGCCTAACTCTGCAGCAGACAGCTAACCTGGATCCTTGAGCAGAGCTTCTTAATCAGTGGCTCTATTATAATGCCATCTTAAAACATGGAAAGAGACATGATTGCTAAGTTGGATTCATTTACAGAAATAGCCTAGTGCTATTAAGGATGTGGTATCTCGTTTGCTTTTAGACATTTTATTCAACTAAGATCTTGTTTCATTTTGTCTCTATGTAGCAGAGCTTTAGCACAAGAAGTGGTGAGAAGAGCCCTTCTAGCAGTGAGCTGCAGTTGGTGTGTAACAGGGTCACGTCCTTATATGTTCACACAGACTTATTTATTCTCTTAACTTGGCTTAGCCATTGGGAACCAGGAATTCCCTGCTGCTCAGGATAAAATGTGCAAGTGCTATTTCCAGGGTTTATGCTCGATGTTCCTAATCTTGAAGTGCTTGTTTCTGCAATACAGGTGTTCTTTCAACTGCTCTTGTAGCTACTTTGCCAGGCTTTAAACTAGCCTTTTCAGAACAAAAAAGCAATGACTACTTTCCTCCTACTAATTCATATCTTACAGACAGCAAACTCCCAAACTTAGAATGATTAAGAAACCTTTTTGAAATATGGTACTACATTGTCTGCACAAAACAAGGAAGGGTCAAAGGTTTCAGGATGCTTAATATTACAGTTGATATATTGAAAGTTAAGATATTAAGTGTTTTACTGCCTTGGATCATTATGCCTGACCTCTGAGCTGACACGTGTTCCGCAAACTGATCGCTGCAGGTGTAATAAATGCTGGATTGAAAGGGCAGCTTTATCTCTGTCTGCATCTTAGTATTTCTGAAGTTGGAGTGCAAAGAACTGGCTCTCCTTTCATTGTGTGGTAGAGCGCATGAAGTCTCCACTGCTGCTTCATGATGGGCACTCAGCTGTTGTGCAGGATGAACAAATGGGAACTCCTAAGGTGTTACCAGAGCCATACTTTGTTGTGATGTTCTGGTTACACCAGGCCAACTTGGTACCAGAACTGAAGATGCTGAAGACACAAGATGAAGGAGATAGCATTTCACATCTTCATTCAGCTAAAACTTCCACTAAAGCCCACTGTGAGAAGTGGTGACATCAAATTCTGCCACCAACACCTTGGTTTCTGTGTTCAGCCACTCTTGTATTAACTGAAGAAAATCTGAAGAAGTCTCTAGCACTTTCTGAGAGTGACCAGTAAGAAAAGTTAATCTGGAGTGGGTCATGCTGAGATTCTGCAGCTAATCCACATACTATTTTTGTGTAAATCCTGTCACGTGCACACAGGCTGCAAAAGGATCTAGCCAACAGCTACCATGCTGATCTTCTGGAAGTCTATGCAGCAGTTACTAGTCCTAGATTAACTTATAATCTGTTCTTAAATTGCCTAAAATATAAACACATCGATCTTTTAAGGAGGTGAAAGGTTAAGCAGAATATTAGAAGTTTTGAGTATGTGACAGTATGTACTGAGATGTAGTTCTGCTTGGAAGTCCAGTAGGCATTCATACATTTAGTATGTAGTAATACACAACTTATTTTGTGAAATTACTTCTATGTAGCAACTAAGTTACAGTTAAAGGTTGGGTTTTTTGTTCTCAAGTCTGTTTAATAAAAATTCTTGCTTGTTTTTTTTTTTTAACTGGCTCACACCTTTGCTAGATGGGACAATACAAGGCACTTGTACTGAGAGTCTTAGGTGATCGTTAACTTCTTGCATGGAGAATTCCAGGCTTTCTGAAATAATTCTAGAAACTTAGCAGGTTATTTTGTTAACCATCAAACTAAAGGGAGTTAAAATGAGATCACTTTGTGTGGACTTGTATTTAAAAGAAAAAAGCACAGGAGACTTTTGTTCAGTATTACAATGACTGGAATAGTTCCTTGCAGGTAATTAAAGGCTGAATCTAATAGTTTGGTTCTACTTCCTGACACGTAGTAGCCCTCAGAATCTCAGGTGTGACCACATCCTAAAATGTGTTTTGCTGAACTTAACGCTGATTCAAACATAGGCAAGCAGAAAAAAAAACCAAGATAGTGCTACCCAATACTTCAGTTTAAATGCTAAGAAAATTGTTGGATCAACACTATTAAAAAACTTATGATAGATTTCACTGCAACTTTTAAAAGGACTCTGTGAAGAACTGTGTTGAAATCCAGGTTTGTGTGATGACTGCAGTACAAACCCAATCTGGATGGGTTTGTGGTAGAACTGGCAACAGTTTAACTGCAGCAAGGGTAGCTGAACAGATAAACACAGTTTTCACAAACCGACCCAAATCATCTGGATGAAGGACTGGTTGATCAGCCTTCATTGACCACAGTGACAAAGACAAGAGAAGTAACTAAGATACTGATTGCACCTTTTGAACAGAGTAGTAACCAAAGCAACCACTGGAACATGTACATTTCTAGAACATAGCAGTTATTTTATGAATGTGAACAAACCTGCAGAACAGTAGCCCTATCCTGTGTTTCTAATATAAACTTGTAACAGCAGTGTTGTCTTGCAGTATCTCACAAAGCAAGTGGAGCTCTTGCGTCAAATGAATGATCAACATGCAAAAGTTTATGAACAGTTGGATGTGACAGCAAGAGAACTAGAAGACACTAATCAAAAGCTAGTTGCAGAGAGCAGAGCATCACAACAAAAGATACTAAGGTAACAAACTTAAGCAACATCCTCTTTTCTCCTCTCTACTCAACTGCTGATACAAAAACCAGTAATCTAAGTCTATAAACGCAGCGTTTTGGTGGCTGTTTGTCTAGTGTTGTTCTACACTCTTAAACTGAAAGTTTTATTTAAAGGTGGTTTGTGGCCAAAGAGCAATCTTCAGAGAAGCTGAAATGTGAGGGGATGGGAATTAATCTGTCCTTGATTAAACAGTCAAATGCTTTAACAGAGATCCTTCACTTCTAGCTTGACAGAGACTATTGAAAATCTGCAGACACACATAGATGACCTGCAAAGGCAAGTAGAAGAGCTGAAAAAGTCTGGACGAGGCCGGATGAACCATGAGAGATCTGACCAGCCAAGATCAATGCACAGCTTCTCGTGTTTGAAGGAGCTGTATGACCTTCGCCAGTAAGACTCTTTCCTTACATAACAAACAAAATGAAAATTATTTTAAGCAAAGTTTCAAAAACTAGATACAAGCATGGGTGTTTAACAGAGTAGCAGAAAAGCATTCTAAGTTTGCAACTAGAAGAATATCTGTACAGTTGTGCAATATGTGGTGGTGTTGCTTCTGGTGTGCTCTGGCTGCAGACTGTATTGATCTTTGTGGGAAAACAACAGTACGTTCTACTTAATATCTTGACAGGTTCTCCCCCAGAGCCTCCAGCTGTGTGAAACTGTAGCCTAGAAAGCCTTCAAGAATGTGAACCTTCCTCTTTTCAGTCAGATAAAACACAAACACAGATAACTACCAAGTAAATTATCCTAAACAATATTTTCTGTAACTTACTTTTTCCTGGGACATCTGTGGGCACCTTCTTTTCAAGGTGGGCTTGCTGTAGTAGCTGCATTTTAACTGGATAAAACAGTGCTTATAAGCTGGTAAAATAGTGCCTGAAGCTTTGGGCTGCTTTCTAATTTAGAGCAGTTCTACCCAGCTGAACTGCATTGTAAGCTCATCAGGAGTCACCTGGGGGATGGTCCCAGTCTGTTTTCGCTGCTAGAAGCTAATAGAAGAAGTGAAATAGTTCTGCAAACAGGGAGAATGGGATTTGTGTCTGGGCTTCCAGCAGTGTATGCAAGTAAGACAGGAATTAATCTATGCAAGCAAGGAATTATGTGGTGACAATTCAAAAGATAAGTGGATTATTTCAAACTGTGAGAGGTTTGTGGAATTACCACTCTGCAGAACTGCCTTGCCCATTCTGAAGCTTGTTTCCACAATCGGCGGTGACACAAGTTGTGAAAGATGTGGTAAAAATATAAAGGAGTATCATATAATATGTGGAGGCAGTATCCTTTAAATTGAAATTACAGATCTTTTATTCAGTAAACTTTTCTGTAATTTGAGATTGTTAAAAAGCTGCCATCCTGCTTGAGCTCAGAGGCTTGATGGCATGTGAAGTATCTGCAGACTCCAATCATGATTATCAGCTGAACTGTTAGGTTGGCAAGATGACTGCTATGCATGCTTTCAGATAGGTTAACACAGAGTTTAAACTGTCATTACTTACCAACGACAGGAAAACTTTTAGGTATGGTCTGTATTTCTAAACTTTAGCTGTATTTCCCTGTTTCCTCAGGTATTTTGTTTATGATCACGTGTTTGCAGAAAAGATTACTTCAATGGATAGTCAGCTAAATCCTCTGGAAGAAGAAAATGAGAACTTGAAGAAGGCAGTTACAGTTCTGCAAGCCCAACTCAACCTAGAAAAAGAGAAGAGGGTAACAATGGAAGAGGAATACAGTCTTGTGGTGAAAGAGAACTGCGACCTTGAACAGAGGCTTGTTGATATTGACTTGTATCGGGCTCGTGCAGAGGAGTTGGAAGTGGAAGTAGCTGAAATGCGACAGATGCTTCAATCTGAAAACACGCTCCACAATGCAGAGAAATTGGTGCCAGAATCCTTTTTCATTTCATTTAAAGAATCTTTAGAAAGGGAGCTTGGTCAGAGCCCAGCTGATGATGGGCTTCTGACTGTCCCTGAACTTGAGAAAAAGGCATTGAAGCGGAGCAGTAGTGAAAATTTCCTGAGTAGTGCTGCAGGGGGAGACATTCTAAGGGGCCATGAAGAAACGTGCATCAGGAGAGCTGAAGCTGTGAAGCAGCGGGGAATCTCTGTACTCAATGAAGTTGATGCTCAGTATAATGCTCTGAAAGTGAAATATGAGGAACTTTTGAAGAAGTGTCAAATGGATGAAGATTCTTTGAAACACAAGGCTGTACAAACACTGAAGCAGTATTCTAAAGACAGTGTGGGAAATACCCAGTATGATCTTTCAGCTAACAATCAAGAATTCACGAATGCAGGAGAATCACTTTGCTCCACAAATACTCTTCCTGAATATAAAGCACTCTTCAAGGAAATCTTTAGCTGTATCAAAAAAACAAAGGAAGAAATAGATGAGCACAGATCTAAGTACAAGTCCCTTTCTTCTCAGCCATAACGTTAGATGTTCTGATGACTGATTTGTTGCTGGTGACTAATTTGTTGCCCAGAAAGGGGGAAAGACTTTACACAAATGTCGAAAGACCCCTTGCACAGATGTTTCTTTTAGCACTAAAAAGGAATGTTTTCAATTGGCTCATAGAGAGTAGTTAAAAAGCTAGTTAGACTAGCAGTCTCCCTGTAGGTACGTAGCAATAGATGTAATGTTGTTTGGCACTGTCACACGAACTAGTGGTTGTAAAGGAAACAAATTGTAGCTTGATACTACAATGCTACTTAATACACTTGATTTCTGGCAGAAACTGACAATGGTTTTCCTAGTCCACTTCAAATTAACAGAGCTAAGAAATCCGTACACTACTTCTCACAAAGAACTAGGTAAAAGCTTTTCTTTAACTTGCATGTGATCATCTAGCCCAGTAACTGTAAAAAAAAAAAACAAAAAACCAAAAAGCCCCAGGTCAGCATCATAGGCAGCCTCTCCTCGAGTCCTGAGAATGAAGTTAGTGAATCTAGCTGAATTTGCTTTGGCAGGGAGGTGGAGAGCGAGCATAGCAGCTTGCGCTGTGCTTGGTAAAGTTAATGCCATGTGTTCACATGAACTAGGCTCTTCTATGGATAAGTATAGATGTCTTTGTACTGAGAAAGACTTTGACAAGAAGTTTGTGTGGCTATTTAGGTATGGTTTCTTATTTAGGGGACTTCGTCTTAAGGTGAGGTACTGTGAATTGATTACATGTTATTTGGAGCTGTTGTTTTTTTTTTTTTGTGGGAGGCCAACAAAGTACCTACTAGTGTGTATCTGGCAAGACAAAGTTGCAATTTAGTCATTTAACTTTAGCGGTAGAATTGATACAGTGAGATAGCTTTTAAGCTCACATACCACGAACTCCAAGCACTGAAGGAGACGGGTCACGTAAAGCCTTATCTTACAGGTTTGCCCATTGCTTCCACTATCAGCTTCAGTGAACCTGTTCCATGCTGCCTATGGAGTGGTGGGAGGCTGGATGCAACACTGCTGGAACATATCCTACTGAAAATGTGGGGCTGTGGTGTTGTTCATACTTTCCTCCTCCACTCCCTAATAGTAGCTCATAGGTATTCAAATTCTGAAAAACAAAATATGCAGAAGTACATTCTTTAGAACTGCTTTGAAGTATGAAGAATGGAAAACAAAGGCTAAGCAATTAAGGAGAAAGAAGGCACCAGGAAAGGTGACATCCTTCTTACACAGGGTCTCATAGCTTAATTTGGTTAGCTCTTCTTGGGAACTTCCTTATTGCCTGTCTGAGTTGCTGCAATATACCAAAACAGCTGGAAGAGTGACAATTTCTCAGCTTTAGTTCAACTGCTGCTATTAAGTTGTCTGCCTTATTTACTTGTTAAGCTTGTGTATAGTTGTCCTTCATTTGCAGTATTAAGACTCTGTATTGTGGGAATTTCTCAAAAATATGTATTGCATTCTTAAGAATTATTTAAAAATGGGAATCCGAATGTTGTAAATATTTTTCTAAGCAAATAAATAAGCCAGTCAAGCTCCACGTCTAACTAGTAATTATGCCTATCTGTGCTTATCTTGAAACAGTAAACTGTGCAGATGGCAGCTGCATTATCTGGTCTATCCTACACAGCTCAGATGGAGTTCCCATTAAATTTTTATTCTAAAAAAGTTGCAGTAGGTAGAAAAGGATACGCCTGTCTGTGCTATAAGGCCAGAGGCAATGAAGTAGTTTCTCGTTTCTCTCGTGTTTGTCAGTGTTGTTCCAAAAAGGGTGTTGGAGGGGTGGAAGGCAGGAGAGCTGCTGTTCTGCCACCAGGTTAGCTCTGATGTCACTGCTTCCCTGGCACTTGGATTGTCATTATCTAAGGGCTTTCTACTGCAAAGCAGTAACTTTGGATATGTGTTCTGGCTGTCACAAGCACTCTTTTACTAATGCTATTCACTTTGGGGAGTGGGGGATCCACACCCGTGGGACCAGAAGTTGTGTAGAAACAACTTTAGAATTTCTTGTTAAATATGTGATCTTCAGTGGTTTAATACTGTTGGTTAGCAGGGCACTTTCTATCTATTTTTTACCCTTTAAAATATCCAGAATGTTCTCAGATTTCCACAGAAGTCTTCTGTAGCATAACCTGCCTTTGACCACCTGTGCCATTGTTGAGCTCTGGCTGTACTGCAGTGTACTTTAACACTTAACTGTACATACCCTGTAATAAAAACCTCCAAGGCTCTGCTGTTCTATAACCTCTCTCAGACTGGCTTTCTCAGGGATAAGCTTTATGGGTGCAGCTGTAGGCAATGCTACAGCAACAGGGTCATGCTAGGTAAGCGACAGTGATGGGGACACCCAGCACAAAGGCTGCAAAAGCTGCCTGAACTTGGACACTGCCTGATTACAGTAGTGAATAAACTTAGTGTGTGAGTTAAGGTAGAGTTTTAGCAGTTTAGAAATAAGTACTTTCCACAGAAGTTCAAAATGCTCTAAGTATGGCACACTGCTCTTAGGCCAATCTTAATCTGCTTATTTTAGTTAAAAAAACAGCCCTTAAGCATAAGTAGATGAAATTAATAGTATCTACTTGAGCTTCTCATATGATGGAAATTACAGAAAACAAAACCCATGAACAGTAACTGCTCTAAAGCCACCAGTGGGGTGTTCCTTACCTCACTGCTGTGAAGCTTAAGTGACAAACGTAGAACAGAAGCAGCTCAGTTATCATTTCTTGAGCAACAGGCTGCATCTTGACAACCATCCTAAAAAATGTGATGCAAGTAGAAAAGTACAGCAAGAGGCAGTTTGCCATCTACCTCAAACATCTGCAAATGTTTTACCTTTCCTTCCTCTGTAAGCCTTTGGGCTCTAAAAGGAGCAAAGATCATTTCCATTTCTTCCTGGGCAAATACAAGGCAGAGTACAGCAGGATGCCACAGCTGACCTTCAAGATAAAATTTTATTTTTAAAAAAGTTACACAAAATAGAGGTTTTACATTGTTGCCAAGTGTGATAACTGCAGCTGGATGCCTTGCACATGGTGCACTTACCTTTGCACACAGTAAGGCAAAACTCCATCACCCAAAACCCACATCAATAAGACATCCAGTAGTTGTTTCACATCTATTTCAAGTGTAAGTACTTTTTCAGACAGTTCATTTTACAGACACCAGTTGAGAACAGTTGCTATGTCATACAATGTTTAAAGACAGTGATTTTGTATCCCCCCCTCCCTGCCCTGATGTGCCCATGAACATCACTACCCTTGTTGTAAAGGAAGGCGGCAAGGGCTGTTGTAATGCTCAGACTGATGCCTGAGCATCTAGGTATTTAACAGAACCTGGGATGTTTGTAAACAAATTTAATTTATTGGCATCACTTACTTACAAAATAAAATATTAGACCATGATTTTCCATCATGTCTGTGTCAGTATATGGTTTTATTTTATTATAAGGAAAGAGAAGGAGAAGCAAAATACATTAGAAATCCCAGATTAATCAAACTGCAGACAGGGTCCCGTGTTGTCTTCCTAGTTGCTCACTGCACCCAGGCGGCCATGCAAACATATGTGTGAGTGTGCTGTGATGTCAGTGACTGTCTGCAATGCCACATGCCCCAAAGTAGGTCAGCTCCTGCCCCACACTCCTGAGGCCACAGCATTACTGTCTGTGCCGCCCACCGCAGGTTTCCTCTTTCATCCAGGAGAGCATCTGAAGCACAGAAACCGCCACAGCTGCCGTCAAGACTGCACAGTCCCTTTAAGATACCACATTCCACCATAGCTCACACAGCAGTCCTGGGGAGAAAGGGAGAGCCCATCAGTGCCTGCAGCACCGCCCCGCATTTCCAAACCGCAGGGATTACACACTATGGGGTGAGCCCCACTGGAACCATGATTTGGCTTTGCAACCTTAAATGTGATCGGAACGTCCCTCCTGCGTGCCAATGAGAGCCAGAGCAGCAGGTTATCTCTGCCCTGAAGCTTAACACAGCAGACAAAGGGGAAAGGCTGAGAGCACAGGGAGGATACACAAAGGGAAGGTTTCTGGGAGGAGGAGATGGGAAGAATGGTGAAGCAGGTTAGGACAGGAAAAGAGGTGAGAACCAAAGGAACTACGGGGTAACTGCAGCCTGAAGACGTGAACAGACAAAAGGGAGCAGAGGAAGCATGCAGGCAGCCCCAAGCTGGAGCTTTTCAGCAACGTTCTGTGGCAAGGAAGGGTCAAACCTCAGAACTGTACTCAGGTATTCTGACCGTGTCTGCTACACTCACAGCTGCAAGCTTCACAGCAAAGGAGTTCAGTTTGTGGTTCCTTATTTCTATTCAATGAACACCAAGCCTCATGAATTCTAAGCCTAACAACTCCTTTTGCTGCAACCTTCCCACTTACGTAATTCAACAGGAGCTTAAGCACTGCTACAGAACTGATGCTGTGGAACTAAAAAGATAAAAAAAGTACCAATAACTGTAACTTCTTCTTAATTCTTGGAACTTACTGCCCTACAAAGAAATTAAGTGCAGAGGCTCAAAAGAGAGTTTTCATTCTGGATCTGCAGATGCAAAAATATATTCCCTGTCAGTCTGCTCTTTTCTGTACAGGACAGGAACACACGCAGATGGGGAAATAAGAGTCAATAAATGCTATTTCGTTCAAAGTGGAATCAAATCTCTTATGATTTAAAGAAACCAGTTAATCCTCCTACTTCATTAAATCATACTTTCAACATTTACTTCAGAAACGTGCTTCTGTGACAAATACATTCAAGACAAAGTCTGACACAACACAAGGCTGACTGTGCAGTGACTTAGATTTTACAAAAGTAGGACCTGGTTTGCCCGGAACAACGATTCTTTGCTCCCCAGAAATAATTCATTTATTAAACATCAACAACAATGTGCAAATGAATGCCAGTACATTATCTAGACATCCCCAGAGAGCTGCGATTTGAGCCTGACAAACCTCCCAGCTCAGGCAAGACAAACCAAACACTGCATAGCAGGCAGAAACATCTCAGCTTATTTTAATACTAAGCCCAGGTTCATTCAAGCAAGACCAGTTTGCTTACTGTCACTGCAACAGATGTGTAATTTTTCAAGTAGGTTATTACTCTGCTTACAGATCCCAGAGTAATAAAGTACTTAAGCACTTGTCTCATTGAAGTGGGTGATGGTGAGCAAAGGCCCAGCAACAGTGACTGCAGTGCTACATGAGCTGGCAGCTTTCTCCTTTGTCAATCACAACCTGCTTGGTTGCTACTTCATACCTTAAACTTGCTTAGAAAGTAAATGGTTCATGTTCAAAGACAGAGATGAAAGGATTCAAACATTCACTATGGGACGTGCTAAATAAGACTCTATGCTTGTTTCAGTTGCGGTTTTGCTCACTACACTGCTTTAAGTTCTACTATAGAATATAATGCATTTCCTTCTGAACGTGTGGCACCTGTTCTTCAGCACG